TATATCATGCCATTCTCTTCTGGCCTGTAGGGTTTCTGTTGAGAAGTCTGATGATAGCCTGATGGGTTTTCCTTTGTAGGTGACCTTTTTTTTCTCTCTGGCTGCCTTTAATACTCTGTCCTTGTCTTTGATCTTTGCCATTTTAATTATTATGTGTCTTGGTGTTGCCCTCCTTGGATTCCTTGTCATGGGAGTTCTGTGTACCTCTGTGGTCTGAGAGGCCATTTCCTCCCCTAGTTTGGGGAAGTTTTCAGCAATTATTTCTTCAAAGACACTTTCTATCCCTTTTTGTATCTCTTCTTCCGGTACCCCTATAATATGGATATTGTTCCATTTCGATTGGTCACACAGTTCTCTTAGAATTCTTTCATTCCTGGAGATCCTTTTATCTCTCTCTGCATCAGCTTCTCTGCGTTCCTGTTCTCTGTTTTCTAGTCCATTAACGGTCTCTTGCATCTCGTCCACTCTGCTTTGAAGTCCTTCGAGATTGTTTTATTTCTGTACTCTCCCTCCTTAGTTCTTGCATATTTCTCTGCAGATCTATCAGCATGGTTATGACTTTTGTTTTGAATTCTTTTTCAGGAAGATTGATTAAATCTATCTCCCCAGGTTCCTTCTCAGGGGAAGATGTAGAAGATGTCGAAGATGTCCGGGTTAGTCTTGTCTGGATCAAATGTTTTTGCCTTTTCATGTTGATAGGTGCAGTGGTATGCTATTGACTGGTCTGACAGCTGGGAGAGCCAAGACTCTTTCCACTTGCTCCTGGCCTTCCTTTACTGGGACAACTGCGACCTCTAGTGGCTTGTGTTGGGCAACTGCGTGTAGACTGGGTCTCTGTATCTTGCCCGGCCAGTATGGAGGAAGCTCCCTTGCTGTGGGTATGGCCAGCCTCAGGCTGCTGCTATGCTGTGGCAGGGCCCCGGAGGGGTAATGGATGGGGGGCTGTTTGGCTGTTTACTTCCGTGAGGGGTCTCAGAGCTGTTGCCCAGGGGGGTTAGTGCGCCCAGAGTTCCCTGGAATTTCCAGCTGCTGAACTGTGACCCGGGATGCTTCCATCCAGTTTTGGGGTCCCTGTCCCTTTAAGACTTTCAAAAAGCACTCGCTTTTCTTTGTCCAGGGGCGCCGGCTATGGAACCTGCTCACAGGTCTTACTGTCCTGCTTCCCTAGTTTCCAGCACCCCACACATGCACTGTGTGTCTGCGCTCTGGTGTGGATGGCTAGGGCTGGTTTAGCAGTCCTGGGCTCCCTCTCCCTCCCCGCTCCGACTCCTCTCCTCCCGCCGGGAGCTGGGGTGAGGAGCCTTGAGTCCCGCTGGTCTGCGGCTTGAGTCTTACCCCTTTCACCAGGTGCTGGGTTCTTGCAGGTGTGGACGTAGTCTGGCTGTTGTCCTGTGTCTTCTGGTCTCTCTTTTAGGGATAGTTGTATTTGTTGTATTTTCAAAAATATATATGTTTTTGGGAGGAGATTCCCACTGTCCTACTCATGCCACCATCTTGGCTCCGCCTCGAGAATTGTTATTTTTAAAGGAATATGTGAAGACTTAAATTTGGAAAACAGATCTGATTCTGGAAGATAGCTTTTGAAGGAGAAAGGAGGATAGAAAACAAACCAAGCCCATGAACAAAGGTCAAAGAAGAATCCTCTAACTGTGCTATGAGCTCCCTGTTGGTTAATATTGGGCTGGTGAGTCAGTATCAGGAGGCTGTTGGAACAGAGGCCAGGAATTCAAATACCCGTGATTGGAACTTCCAAGAGACTGGAGTGTAAAGCATAATGTAGCCCCAAGAGACAGGGACACAAAGGTCAGTAAAAGATTGACTCGGTGTAAGCATGCTGATAAAATAAAGCTTCTCATACCTGTCCCTCTGTTTAAGGTCTGGTTGGTCTGGGGAAATGGGGGATGTAGTATGCCTGCAAGAATGGGAGTGTCTTTTGTGCCATTACAGTTCTTTTTCAGGCTTTTGGTGACCAGTTGACAGTTGTCATACCAAAACGAGGAGAAAAGTGATCAAAGGAATAGGCAACTATCTAACATTAAGATAGACTTAAACATCAACAGTCTTTGATTTGAGAACGTGATACGGAATGAGATTCAAGTCAAGTCATCTGGATAAAGTAAGTTAAGAATTGTTCATGAACAGCAGGCATTCCTAGCTGAGGTAAATTTGAGTCAGAAAAAGAAGTACTCCTCCTCACGTGAGCTAGTAAGATTGCTTCCCTTGCATGTGAAGATCAAGTAAGATGTGGAATCACAAAGGCAGTGGTGTGAGATTGATGATTGGATGGCTCTGAAGAACACTTGATTCCGTGACCAGTGGTTGTAGGAACTCGTGTGAAGAGGGAGGATTTGGGGTGAGCAGTAAGGAAAAATTGTTAGAGGGAAAGGAATTTTTTGAAGATTTAGAGTCCTAGAATTGGGATTATTTGGAAGAGTATATGGAAAAAATCTGGAGTTTGGGATATTTAGAATGTATGTGGAAGGAACTAATTGGATGAGAGGAATTTGAGTGATAGTAAGAGACCCATGCCAGTATCATGGAAGAGAGGCAGGTAATCAGACAATGCAGAGATATATGTGACCAGTGTTAAAACTTGAGGGTGCTGGTTGGGCACTAAGAGGTGCCTGGGGATCTAGCTGCATGAAGGAACTTGAAGTTGATAGCAGAGACGAAAAACTGTTCACCTGTGTTTTGGAGAGTTTGATTCTAATCCTGGCCACAGGGAACAATTCATTTTGATCATTTTGGACCTGTTTGAGCTATAAAATGAAAGTCCTTGTGTCTTGCCAACGGGTTTCAGCCCCGGGCAAGTTCACTATGGATTCAGCGAGATCAAGGAACCACAATGGAATGTTCTCAAGGTGAAAGGGTTTATTACCCTGCTTGTTCTGGCAATAGGTTGAGCACTAGAATTTCGTCTGCATCCAACAGTCTGCAGTTCTGTAATCTTCCTTTGTCTTTGCCTCCGCCTAGAGCACTGGGCAGGGCTCTTGACATAGTGACTCATTAATAATAGCTAATTGCCTAGGGTGTGGAAACAGTAGCCTAGCAGCAGGCCAGTTACATCATCAAGTAGTTTAGGTTCAGGTGAGGATCCTGGCCATAGAAACTTTCACTTTATCCACACCTAGATTATGTTATTTCTAAATCCCTTAAATTTAAGCTCTTAATACTAACCACTTTTACTAAGCATTTTCATGACTGATTGAAAGTACAAAAAAATTTTTTTTAAAGGTTGAGTACTCACATAGGACCACATACATACATACTTGGAAGATGTAAAGGAAAGCACCCTGCCCTGCCACCATAGGGTCTTGTCAGAAGACCTCATACTAGTATGGATGGACCATTAGTCTCACTTAATTTGGTACCTGCAGTTTTTGATGGGGCACTGAGTTGGAAGCCTTTTTTCCTATGCTTCCCAACTTAATTGACCCACAGCGATGTTGTCTCTACTACAATGTTCTCTTTCAGCCTTGCCACTCAAGTTGTGGTCTATCGAGGAGCAGCATCAGTGTCACCTGGGAGCTTGTTA